AAGTATGTTTATAATTATTTTCTTATACTCACTGTATAATTTTTGGGAGGGGTGGAGATAGCCTTTGGCTAACCAACCCTTTTCCTTTTATGTATAAATGTAATTTTATGCATAATAAGAGATATTATTATCATTAAAAGTTGTTTTCTACATCCTATATTTATAACGTGAAGACATGATTGTCTGTGCGAGCAAGAGAATGAAAAATGTCCTCCATGTCAATTCGAAAGAAACGACTTGGGTTAACCAGTATCAATAATGATAAAATCCCATTTGAAAAAATGATATTCACTGAGAAATTATTGGCTGAATGATTCATTATTTTTGTGTTTAAAAATTTTGAATTGAAATCATACATTTTTTATAGCAGTGTAACATATCTGATGATGAAGACGTACAATCCAGTACCTCTTAAGCGTCAAATCTGAGAAAGGTTCTATGTTTATGAAAGTAAATGTGATAGAATTTCATCCCATGCTCGGTATAGATTTCTACTCTAGTGGATACATCTATTTTCCTGACTGAAGTGACAAGTATTATTGTCTTCCAATTTTCTTCCATGGCCAGCTAATGACATCAATTCCAATTTGATTTCCTCATTCAACACTAAGAATAAACTACTTCTAATCGGGTTTCTGGTAGTTTATGACCCATAGTCGGATAACAATGAAGAAACATCTACTGAAACATAAGTGTTTGAAGGTTATAGGTTTGAACAATGTAGATTGAATGACTATGTCGTGAACTTTCATTGTTTTTACTGAAATGATTTTCTCGTTCATTGAGACAGCTATTTCACAAGTAATGACCTAATAAAGCAATAAAATCCACATAAACTCACACTGACTTATGTTAGTGATATATTCATAATAAATAACTTTTTTGTGGCATATCATGGATGAAAATAGATGATTGAGAACAAATGAAACATAAAAAGTTCCTTCATTAATTAGAGGTGACACAGTTAATCCCATATTCAAAAAGATCAGATGGAAGTTGAAAAATATCTCAGCTTGATTCAGAGAGTTGAAGATAGGTTGTAAGGTTCGCATAAATAAGGCCAAACTCGAAAAATAGAAAGAAGTTAATAGAAACCAGGAGAGGCCGGAACTTTCCGAACTGTAAAGAATTCAACTTAACAAACCAGATGTATATTATTAATAATAAAACTGAAATAGTAAACGAATTCAACCATTTGAATTGAAGGGGTTATATTTGTAAGAGTGATTAATTTTTGGGAAAGAAAGTTTTTGGCTTTCTACTACTCCATCTCGATACAAAAAAAGATGAGGGAATCTTCCAGAGAAAGGAAAGAAGTAATCAATTTGAAAATAAGTAACTCTATACATGGATGTGTGGATCATGCAAAAAAGTAACTTTCAGACACAAACTGAAAGAAAGTCCTCCTGAAACAGCTACTTCCATATAAACATTGAATTACACGAAAGAAAAAAATTCTTTCGAAACAAATACTTCTATATGAACACTGAATTATACAGAGGATACTTTTCTTTACTCAGTTTGTGTTTCAAAAATTCGTTGGAGAATAAAAATCATATATCATTCACATGAGTTCTACTTTAAATGATAGTATAGATAGTGTTGAAGATTGGAAATTCAATAATTATAATCTTTATCTTAATTTTTCCAAGTTTCACATATTAACTACGGATGAATTAGGTCTAATTGTTAACTCCTTAGACAACAAAAAAAATGTCCATGAGATCTTAAATTCCAAAATGCTCAAAGTCATTTTTGAAACATTTGGATATATAATTTTGAACCTTGTAAATACTTCTCTCCAAACTTCTAAAATTCCAAATCCTTCAAAAGTTAGTACTATAGTTCCCATTCAAAAGGTAAGCAATACAATAAAGGCTAGTGAATATAAACCTATAGATACGTGAAATTTGTGGTGTTCTATTACGGTTGTATTACTTAACTATGACATGTATATATAAAATTCTGAATAACTTATCGCCTTCATATTTTTATGAATTTGTCAGTGTAAATTCAGAGGTGCACAAATATGCCACAAGAAATCATACTAGCATTTATGCACAACAAATAGGAGCAGTGCCATGAATTATTTATTCTACAAAGGGTTTGATGCACACAATAAATTACCAAATGTGATTAAAAATCTAGTACATCATTGAGCATTTTATTATTGAAATCCATCCATAATGCTGGATAAAATAATACTTGGTAAGATGATATTAATAAATACAGTATTTGTTTGTTGTTTTCTTCTATTTATCATTGTATTGGAGCTGCATCTTTATTGTAATGTATTTTTAATAGCATATGTCGGTATTTTTGGAAGTAGAAGTTTTCATTTCTTAATATTTTATTTTAAATTTTGAACTATGTCTACATTTTATGTATGTTGTATGATGTTTTCTTCTATTTATCATTATATTGGAGCTGCACTTATATGACAATGTATTTTTAATAGCATATGTCGTTGTTTTTCAACCTAGAAATTTTAATTTTTTTATTTCCAATTTTGAACTATATCTACATTTCAGTAGTATGTTTTATATAATATTGTATATTAGGTTACCTATTTCAATTAATATATTCTTCTTCTTCCATTGTCACATATCGCTGCAAAAATAACGGATTGTTATGTTTGAACATGGACAAACACTGCTCATAATCATCAACACGTTCGTGGTTTTGTTTAGGAGTGAGCTCGCGTGGCATCCATTTTGAACAGACCTTTCTCATATTCAAATGTTCATGCAAAATAAAGTCAATACAAGCTTTTGATATCTTTACAGTGTTAGCTAACTCACGCGACTTCACTTTACGATCATTCAAAACAATTTTGTGGATTTTTTTATATTTTTTTGGAGTTACTGCCTCATTTGGACGTCCACTGTGTTCTGCATCATCGGTGTTTCTACGACACGTTTGAAGTCAGTAAACCAACATTTAATTGTTGTTTCTGATGCAGTAGAGTCTTTAACACTTTTAAAGCCATTGTTTCGCTTGAACGGTAGTTTTTCCCATCAAGGAGCAGTGTAAAATTGAAACACGAAATTGTTTTGTCATCCTTCGTTTTGAAAATAACAAAGAAAGTGTCACCCTCAGCACAATAACTCACAAAATGCTAGTAGTCAACAGGAGGCTTTCAACCGTTAGCAAGAAATCTTATCTAATTCGAAAAACCCCCTCTGATATTATTTCCTTTGAGATTGTTATCAAGTTTTTAATTTCGGTTTCGATTCACTTTCAATTACAGCGTTTGCGGTGAATGGTGTAGCATGTCTTTTCATCATGAGGTGCTCCAGGTGTTAATTGTTATTGACTTGTAGATTTCCTCAAGTTCCAACATCGGGCACAAGCCAACTGATCAACAGTGTTAGAATAGCCAAGGATAAAAGGAATCATCTGTCATCCATCGGCATTTACAGGATCTATTGGTTCTGTGGTTTGGTACTATTTAACGTAGCATCCATAATAGAATTCAATAACACCGCCTCATATCATCAGAGCGATCTGTAATTGTAGAACATGTCCTAGCAGAAACAAATCACCTCATAAATCAAATAATATGAAACTGTAGTTCTGTATAATATAACACTCGACTTCATAGGGAAGCCATCGAGGTCTATGAGCATCCCATCAGCAGGTAAGAAGTTCGAATTATCTGAACTTAAATATTGTGTACTCAAAAGAATCTAAAAATGAACTAGAATACAAGTCTGCTCAATATACCACCAGCAGCACATCTATCCACAATGTGGACTCCTAAAACCAACCCACCACGAGTGCAGACTGAAGGAGTAAGAATTCTCATTCATATCCCTCTCCGACCACCATCAGCAACAGTCAACATTCACAGTCAGGTCACGGGAATTTCAAATACGACCAAAATTATCCGGAATTTAGAAACTGTATACCTTTCAATATGTAGATGCTGGTATAAGAACAGCTGGTATAAGAACTGTCTTCAGTAGAAACAGTATCAACGGTTGAAAGTCTTCCTATAACCAAAACTTCAACATCGTTCCACAAATTTTAAATTCTGGAACAATGAATGTATCTATTATTCGATTAAATACCGATAATTCGATTCGATTAAATACCGATTAAATACTTTGAGTTGATGCAAAAGTAACAAGATCAAACGAGAAGCATATACCTTCCAAAAATATTCGAGCTGACTCTGATGACTTAAATTTAGACGCAACTGCAAAATCAAGTCAATAAAATATCTCAAAATCAGTATCATTTTTCAACTGGAAATTTTTCTGGCTAAAATGTCATACAGAAGCTGAATTGGAATGGAAATATGAGCAAAATTGATGTAGTATTTGTATTATAACATTGTCACACCGTAAATTCAAAAATTGCAAAGACCACTGAGACTAAGATAACAATAAAAATATTCAAGTAAGATACTATTCGAAAAATGATGTAAGTAATTATGTGAGAATAGATATTTCTCATACCTCAACAAAGACCAACATCGTGAAAGGGGAGTGGAAAAGTATATTTTGTCTATTTTCAAAAATGAGCCATCTTTTGGAATTGGTACACGAGAAATTAGGATTTTGTGTTCCATCATGAATCATCTTAATAATGTCTTTGACTGAACTATCTATCCCTATCTATCTCGCAAAAAAATTATATGAAATAGTCCTAAAGGAAACACAAAACAATATTTCAGTAGCATAAGTAGCATATGTACATTTCTTCAAACATAAGGTACTAAGAACTCTTGTAACTGACTGTAACTGTTATGAATTCAACATTTTTTCCATTACGATAACAAAATTGAAATAGTCTGGATGTCCTTTTCAATATTTTTGTGTTTCAACTATATTGAAGAAGTTGTGGAATAAGCCCTAATAATTTATGCTTTTCTTCTTTCAGCAACTGTCAACAAGTAGTTCATGTAAGCTGTACTTGTTGAAATGTCTCAAATAATAACTACGTACTCGTTGCATATAATTATCAGATGCTGACTGGTTTTATTTCACTTTCAGAGATGTTCGACATTTTGTGCGGTGACTTTGAGCCTCTTCATAGGAGCAACTATTCTCAGTAAGTTTTTTTCATTTACATATTTCACCAGTTCCACCACTATTATTCATCATTTTTCCTGATTCATTATTGGGTATTATTGGGTTCAATACTTCCCTAAATTGACTACGGACAATCCAAATTACATAGTTGAACATTTTATTTAAAAGAATAGGCAACTTTTTTTTGAAAAACTATATGAAGATTTGAATCTTGTCAATGTCCGATGTCTATATTTTACTTATTATTGTCTAACCTGGATTTACATTGATGAGCATGAATTTGAGCATGCACAGCCAAAAACTGAAATGAGAATTATGCGGGATCTTTTCCTCAAGCTGCTTCTCTTCAAAAAAACTCACACTCGAAGGTTTTAGTATTATTATTGTCTGAAACTTTATAGTATTCTACCTCAAAACATTCAGATGATAAAGAAACAAGGTGAATTCAAAATTAATATTGAAAATTAAACTTAAATACTCGACATCCAACTGATTTCTTTGGTGATATGTTTGATTTCCACAAGAAGTGGTTACTCAATTATATATGCAGGATATGTTTTTAACTGTCAGTCGGAGGAACAGAATCATCACATCACAGGTATATCTTATACTCAGTTGAATTTTGAGCCACTGGCTGACAACAAGGAGGCCGTGGACTTTTGAGTTTGGAGTGTCTACATGACAGAATGGTACTGTATGTAGCCTGTAAAGTTGATAGGAGTTTGGATCCCCTTCTCTGCATGGTCCGTGACCATGAGAGATCAAGATTTGGAGCATTTCTCTTTAAGGCAGCTGTCCGAGCGGCTGATGATCTCGGTTTAGTTTTCGACACTGGACGAGGTGATCACAACCCTACCACCTCTATCACCGAGTTGGAACCCGTTCAGCAAAAAGCTAATATAAAAGCCGCAGAGATCACCTCACTTCTGCGGAAACGCAAGAATAAGCCAATGCATGGGGTCTTCCTCAATAACATTGAAGACCTTAGCTTATTAAAGCGCCTGACTTTCGCTTTCTTCAGGTCGAGTGGGCTGAATTCGGAATCTGGGGAGTTCATCATGGCTTGCCAGGATGATGTCTTCAACACCTCAATCTACCGTAGTCTCGTAGTGGGTATAGAGGTTCCTGACACAAGATGCAGGGCCTGTCGCAATGCGTCCGAGACCCTAATGAACTTGCTATCAGCATATCCAGCATATGCGGTTTCTTCCTACATCCATCGACATAACGCGGCCCTGAGAGTGCTATATTACCATCTACGGCGGTATTGACGTGACACTTGTGTTGCCCTATGCTCCGGGGGACATTGAATCCGTTGTGGGGAACGAGAAGTGCCTAATTTATTGGAACTATTCGTTCCCGACCCTCAGGCTCATACAAACTAATACGTCTGATGTAGTACTTCTCGAGCACCAGAGCAAGGCGTGGAGTTTTCAGCTCCTGGCGAGACGACTATCGTCCGAAAAGATGAGGAAAAACCGATAAAATATCAAGATTTTCTCTTCGAACTCCGCAGACTCTATCCAGACCACTCCGTCAAAATGGTTGTTCTGACTATTGGAGTTGTTGGTGGAATGATGCCCTCTCTACTCTCGAATCTTAAAATCATACCGGCTTGCCGCACTAAGGCAGAAATCTTAGCCGGGCAGATGCAGAAGGCTGTCATTCTTGGCTCACTACGCTAGCTCAGGTCACATGATTCTCGGACCAAATGATCAGTTATCCCACGGTGTGGGAAGCGATCGTTGGTTGATAATGCTGGCACACCCTCCCGTACTACGGTAAAATAAAAATAATGATCTCTATTGGGTGAAATAGGATATAACAACCAAAAGGCGAAGTTCAAAACTGCAGTGTTGAACACTACAGGTTCGTTCTACCACTTAACCTCAATATATCTCTAACACTGTATTTGATTACTGTAAATATCCATTGTGTTTGATAAATTGAAAATTGAAATTGATAACGTATATGATATCAAGAGTTGCAGTACGCGTTGCCGTTGCCTTGATTTCATTAAAAGAACCTTTTTTATTTAATTTTGGATTTTGTCAAAGAATTTATGGAAACTTGTTTTTAGTTACAGTGTACGGGTCAGCATGGCATGTGTCCAGGGTATCGACAGTGAGCACCTACCGTGCATTTTCGACAGAGAAAGTGATAGCTGACATTGGTGTTTATGTAGGACTTAATCATGTAAATATTACTTTACAAGGTTAGAAATGAAATTTTTACTATATTTTTTCTTTAGAACCGTTGAAATGATAAATTTTAGTCTAGACCATCAAAGGTTCTGGCTTTCTACTTTACCATCTTTATACAAAAAGCCAAAAACTTTCTTTCTCCTAAACATATATCCCTTTCAATTCAAACAAGATTCCTATGGCTGATATTGAATTAAATGAGGAAGTGTCATTATTTACTGTCATCAATGAAATCAGTAGATTCAAACCAGTCGTGATATAAAGTCGTAATTTTATGGATGAATTGAATGTTCCATCTTGTAATGTTATTCATGTTGGTGCTAAAGAAGCAATAAGACAAGTGTCATATTCCGAAACATGGAATGTCTGCCATTGTGGATGACAGTGTTTAAAATCAGTAAAGTTTTATATCTTTCATGTCATCGTGAAAGGGGAGTGGAAAAGTATATTTTGTCTATTTTCAAAAATGAGCCATCTTTTGGAATTGGTACACGAGAAANAAACAGTTGATGTGACTTGACGCCGGGGCCTCAATCGTCTACTCCCCAGGTCTTGTCACGAGTTCTCACCAAGGTATCAATCGTTCCACTGCTTATAAATGAATTGATCTCAGTAGGCAGATTGAGACCTCAGTGAGGTCTCGAAAATGGCTCCAAACTCGGAGCCGAAATGTTGAACAATAAAATCCAGATGCGGTTTACCCTGAACTCAACGACAACATATCACTGTCCGCGGAAACCTATCTACACAAAAAATCCAATATATTCAATTTCGGACATTTTGGTTGAATGTATAGAATTTCCGTGTTTTGTCTGAGATTTTCAGGAGCATTTCAGAAGCTACAACGTCAATCATCTCATAGAAAACACTCAAAATTTCACACAAAACCCGGAAATTCTACACATGCAACCAAAATGTTTGAAATTGAATATATTGGAATCTGTAGAAGTCAAAAAGCATCTTGCTGATAAAAACAACTTTGTTCTGGTTGATCTGATATATCTATATTTATAGTTTTTCAATTATCCATACTGTTATTGTTAATTTCCCAAATTGATACCTATCTCTACCTACCAACTTTCAGTTACATTGTAACTTTTAGTTACATTGGTAGGTGAATCAAAGTAACGTGCACACTCGGGTGGTATCAGTCAGACACGTTTTTATACTTACATTATATGCAGCTCTGTTACGCCAGAAATGCATTTAGTACTTTTTAGGTGCTTTTTAGGTACCGAAGTCAAACATTAGGTGCTCTGTAGCTTACACCGCAATTCAATACTCAAAGTTGCGTTGCTAGCAGTATGTGATGCTAGCAACGCAATGAAAATAATAATAAAATAATGAATGTGATAGGAACACTATTAGGTGCTAATTAAGTGCTAAACGGTGAGGACTATAAAATTATTAATTAATTAACAAAAGCTTTCAATTTCGATAAACAACAGATCTAAGAATCAGGTCTCTCGAAAACGAGGACGAATTCTCTATCAGGTCTTGAGATACTCATAAAATAATACATAGATCATCAAAATGAAGTGCTAATTAAGTGCTAAACGGTGAGGACTGTAAAATTATTAATTAATTAACAAAAGCTTCCAATTTCGATAAACAACAGATCTAAGAATCAGGTCTCTCGAAAATGAAGACGAATGCTCTATCAGGTCTTGAGATACTCGTAAACTAATACATAGATCATCAAAATAATGGCTAATTAAGTGCTCACTAGATAAATAATAGTGAACCTAGATTCCATAATGCCTATGGGGCATTATGGAAAACCACTGTGACTGATGGACTGAGTTCTTACAAAACGTTCCTCGATGAGTAAGGGTATGATAAACAAAAAGAAATATAGTGGAAAATAGACAAAAGTGTGTTTTTGTAGTGAACATGAATTTCCACAAAATAAACAAGTCGTCAATCGAAGAAGTAAGGGTATGAGAATGAATTGCTGATTAGATATTCATAGTGAATCTACATTCCATAATTCATATGGGGCTTATGGACCCGATAACCACCACGGACCCGATAACCACCATTGAAAAAATGTTTTTCCGTTAACCAGCTATCGCACCCCTACGAACGATAACCCTCAGAAGTCGAAACTTGTTCGTGCGAGCTAAGTATTAACGCGGTCTTACCTTTTAACGACTAGGGCTTGAACCACCGACCAACACGCCAGTCAATTCGAGTGAGTGAACAAAGCACCCACGTCGAACCGCCCGGCTACCGGACGGGGGACGTGGATGCTTTGTTCACTCAGTCAATCGGCCGATGTGTGAGTCGATGGTTCAAACCCCAGGCTGAACGCTCAATTTTCACTTGCTATCGGCCAACCCGTGTTAGGAATTGCACAAGTTGAGATTTCTGATCGTTATCGTTCGTAGGGGTACGATAGCTGGTTAACGGAAAAAACATATTTTAAAATTTTTTTTAATGGTGGTTATCGGGTCCATAAGCCCCATATGAATTATGGAATCTAGATTCACTATTGGTCGGTCGGTAGCCAAGCGGTTCGGCGTGGGTGATTTGTTCACTCACTCGAATTGACTGCCGTGTTGGTCGGTGGTTCAAGCCCTGGTCTGAACGATCGATCTTCACTTGCTATCGTCCAACCCGTGTTGGAAATCACACGTTAAAAGGTAAGACCTCGTTAATCCTTAGCTCGCACAAGTTTCGACTTCTGAGGGTTGTCGTTCGTAGGGGTGTGACAGCTGGTTAACGGAAAAACAGATTTTAAACAGTTTTTTTCAAACTATAAATATCTAATGAGCACCTAATAAGTACTTTATTCTCATACCCTTACTTATCGAGGAACGTTTTGTAAGAACTCAGTCCATCAGTCACAGTGGTTTTCCATAATGCCCCATTATTATGGAATCTAGTTTTACTATTATTTATCTAGTGAGCACTTAATTAGATTAGCACTTTATTTTGATTATCTATGTATTAGTTCACGAGTATCTCAAGACTTTATTGCATATTGTTAATTTTTTTTTCTCAAATCAGGAATCCCTTACTTATCGAGGAACGTTTTGTAAGAAGTCAGTCCATCAGTCACAGTGGTATTCCATAATGCCCCATAGGCATTATGGAATCTAGTTTTACTATTATTTATCTAGTGAGCACTTAATTAGCACTTTATTTTGATTATCTATGTATTAGTTTACGAGTATCTCAAGACTTCATTGCATATTGTTAATTTTTTTTCTCAAATCAGGAATCTCGAACTTTTGTTTTCACTTATTTGCGGTTGTTTTCATCTTAATTTCTTGCAAGCACCTAATTTAGCACTTTATTACCACGTTTAGTTCATATCTGATAGAGCATTCGTTCTCGTTTTCGAGAGACCTGATTCTTAGATCTGTTGTTTAGCGAAATTGGAAGCTTTTGTTTATTAATTAGAAAATTTTACGATCCTCACCGTTCAGCACTTGATTAGCACCTAATAGTGTTCCCTCAACATTCATTATTTTATTATTATTTTCATTGCGTTGCTAGCATCACATACTGCTAGCAACGCAACTGCTAGCAACGCAACTTTGAGTATTGAGTTGCGGTGTTAGCTACAGAGCACCTAATTTTGGACTTCGGTACCTAAAAGTACCTAATTTTGGTATTTTCTAAATGCGATTTCCGTACTTTGCGTTGCTGGCGTAACAGAGCTATTATATGCAGCCATCTTTTGGTCAGCCGAATCAACACCGCGTGTAGTTATGTTATAACAGGTAATCATATCTGGCTTACACTGGTTTCCTGTCACTGCGTCAATTTTGTTATCGAATTGCATGGAAGAAATCTTAAGGACATATTTTTTCTTTTTTGGTACATATGATACCAAAGTGGCATTTCTACAAAATGCAAACATGGAGGAATATACTGGCCTCGATGTGATATCTTTCAGTTCTGCAGGAACTTCTGATCGATTCTTGCGAATAGTTCCTACAATTGTTATCCTATGATTTTCCACCATATGCTCTACAATGTCCAAGCTTGTCAACCAATTGTCCATTGTAACATTTCTTCCCGAATCATATATAGGAGCACACATTCTTTTCACAACTTCATATGTTTTATTTAAAATATTGTATGGACCATTGGGTTGATGTCCAACATAAACTTCTAAATTGACGATAAAACAAGTTCTTGCATCAGTCAATGCGAATACTTTAATTCCATAACGGGCTGGTTTCTTGGGAATGTACATGCGAAAACCACAGCGGCCTCGGAATGCAAACAGCATTTCATTTGGGCACAATTTGTCAGTCTTCTCTCTCTCACTACTCGTTTGAACATCATCAAATCGCATGCAGGACGATAAGAAGGTAAATCTGCGATGGGCCATTGTTGCACGAATAATTTCGATGCCTGAGCCATCTTCAGCCCAAAAGTCTTTTGTATTTTTTCTCCCACTTTCATAAAGCCCCATCAAGTAGAGAATCCCAATGACAGCCTTCAGTTCTATAATATTTGTAGGTAGCACATCCAGTGGGTCTTTGTACTTTGGTGCTATATATATATATGTTTGTATTCTCGACGATCTATTCAAGCAAATCGATAGTAAAGAAAACAGACCAACATACTAATGGATTTGTAATATTCTTCGCTATTCCCTTTGTGCCTGGTAAATGTGTCACAAGATTCTGACGTCTATTTCTAACACTAGTCATAGGTGCGTGTTCAGACCACTTTATTACTTCTGTATGATTTCCTTTTCTACGTTTACATTCATAAAATAAACTTGAGTTACCTCCGCTTGTAGATGATTTATTCACTATTTCATGTTCAAGCTCTCCATCTGCACTTTCCTCAGATGTGGAATCGTGATCACTCAATTCACAACGGTCCACATCTGATTCTGGCTCGCCATCCTCATGTCGAACCTCATCATCAGTTGAAACTTCATCATATAATGTTTGCAGTCTTTGAAGTTCTTCAAAATACGGATCCATGTTTTTTTTAATATCACCAAGTGGAACAGCAAAAATCACAAATCTCTCATCAGAGAATTTGGTTACGCCAATACTCGAGTGATGTCTTTGAGACAATTTTCAACAATATAAGTCTGTCACGATCTGACTCAAACTAATCATTTGAGCCACGTGCCGATGTCTAAAAATCCCGAAGCTATACGAACATCTGACGCAATAAAAGACCAACTGCAGATTAAGCAATGAAAATTAGAACTGAATTGTCTCGCAGACACTACCCAAGTACAGGAGGTTAAATGATAGTGTTAGTAAACTGTGAAGAATTATTTTTACGCCACCCATACAATTAAAATTAATTTTCACATATTAGAAGCCAAAACTGTAGAACATACAAAATACACTGGATTATTTCGTTTTGCACTTTCGAAATGAGAAGTTGACATGTGATCCCAAAGAGTTATTTTCATGCTAGTATGAAATATTATAACTGAAAGATAATATTGAATAACGAATCAATGCTTTTTAGGATCCAGCAACAATTGGACGACTGATATAGATTTTAACGAACGATTCCTGTGGCTAGACTCTTACCAAATGGGGAGTAGTTTCAAGGAAGCTTTAGTAAGAGGACTACCATTTCCGATACTCACCGTTGCTGAATATTTCACTGTGGGACAGGAAGGACTTGCATGGGGAGGGCGATATAGAGCTGCTGGTTATTTTGCCGTTATCATGCTCTGGTAAGTACTCATATATCATCTTCATTTTCTTTAGGTTGGAAATTTTCTCCTTTACCCTTTCAACTGTCTTTCGTCAGGAGGACGAGTAGGTAAGTACTGAAATAAGTGACACACTGATTTGTGATGATAAGAAAGAAGCAGCTTATGATGTTGTGATTCATTCATGAAAATTCACTAGCTTCCAGAGAAATGTATGCTCTGTAGTTTAAATGTTTTTAGTGTCAATATTTTTTGGGCTTGAAGGTCGTCGGTTTTTGGAATTTCTACCTGTTGACTCAGGTAGTTTGTAAACTAATACCTGTATCTGAATTTGGTGAATTGCGTAAAGCGTGTTGATGTTGACTCAGGGAGTGGGGTGTCTTCGACTCTTTTCTACCTGCCGTCATGCGGTTTGATATTCTTGAACTTTTTGAAATGGGATTTCTTATTCGGTTGAAATTCACGTGTGTTTATGGATCTCTATTGCCTTCCTTAATAGTCGGCTATGGTTTCCCAAGTTGGAGGCAATGAGCTTCGAGTTTTCAAACAGAATTCTGTCTTTTCCTTCACTGAGTGTGTGCTCCGCCGCAGCCGACTTGTCCGTTTTGCCCAGTCTGCAGTTTCTTTTATGCTCCTTCAGTCTTGTTCCCATAGATCTTCTGGTGGTTCCGATGTATACCTTTCCATAAGTGCACGGTATTACGATATAGCCCTGTTGCTGTTAATGGGTCTCTCATGTCTTTATCTGATTTAATTCTCCACATTAAAGCCATCCAGAAGCTTGGAGACCGAGTTGTTTCTTCGACGAGAGACTATCAATACCGACGACAGAATGATTTCTCTCTCTCCTTCACTCTATCTCCATCTTCTGTCAACGCAAATCAAAACTGAATCCTACCCATCGAGACGACGAGAGGAGAACCGTAAGTATTTTTAGAGTAAGTGAGAATCAGTGCTCGAACATCCGCACAGACGTCGGAATTCCGATATCGAGAGGCGTCGTGGCGCCCCGTTGCCCCGTTCAAACACAAACACAAAGAGAGCGGGTGCAAATCAATAAAAGCACAGTCCTCTTCGCGTTCTTTCTACCAGAGGCGATCTTGGAGAAATGCGAATAACGAATAACGGCGATTTATATGTATAACCAAGCTGGGGGTATCACAAGGTTCGGTTTCTGGCCCGCTTTTGTTTGAGATTTATGTCGATGACTACGAAGGAATTGGAGGGGTTACAGAGTACTATTTTATAATTGTTCGTTCAAAATGTCTCTCAGCCAAAAACGACAGTTGAAACTTGATTATAGACAAGGTGTTTTACATTGAACAGCAATAGTCTGAATTGTCGATTAGGCATTACATGCTCTGAATTAATTATATATCATTGTCTGTTAAATGTTCGGTTTTCCGTTGTCTTGAAAACATGACAAATTTTTGAATCTATGAGTGAAAAAGAAAGCTAAGGAAAAGCAAAATCCTATTAATAATCATATAAAATCACAACATCTATCTGTCAGTCAAAGGTGGATATCATTCAAATATTATTGAATAATTTATGTGAAATAACTGGAGAAACACTTCGAAACTTCACTTCAATTTATTTTTGGGCCATAATTTCACCCTATTTTTCATTCAACTCAGACCCGAGCTTAAAGTTGAGCTAAAGGAATCGAACAGGAAAAAAAACAGTTCATCCAATCGTATTCTACATCATAATTTTAGTCTTATTGTAGGTTCCTAATCCCACCTATCCCGAATTCAATATTGATTAAAAAGAGTGGGTTCCGTTCCGACACTTCGTTTGTCTTCTTTGTTGGTTTGAAAACCGTTTAAATGTTTTGTTTCTTCAAGAGTTTTCCAATTGTCTGTGACCCTAGGGATATATGGTAGATAGGTTCGTGCAACCATCTGAGCTTCCTTCCACGGTACAGATGGAACTCTTCAGTTTCATGGCCTTGTTGATCTAGGATACAGTATATCCATTCAAGCGTCACTTGAAGACGTTCCAGTCCTTTTCCTAGTTCAGTTAGAATATAAATGACTCCTCTCTCTTAACTGGGATGGTGGTTTGATAGTGCGTGCAGGTGAATTTTTTGGTACACGTTGTGGGTTAGTCTAGCACCACATCGTTCGGTGAGTAGGTACATCTAGGAATGCTATGTGTTGGTCCTGTTCAGTTTCCATGGTGAACTTGATGCTGGGGTGTTGAGCGTTCAGATGGCCAGGAAAAAGGTTATTGCATCCCTTTCATGTTTCCAGATGACGAAAATGTCATCCACGTAACGTAGCCACAAAGTCGATTTTGATTCGAAGATGTCGATTGCTTTCTCTTCATAACGTACCATTAAAGAGTTGGCTGTCACTGGGTTGAGTGGATTTCCCAACGCCACGCTTTCTAGTTGCTCATAGAAGTTTCCTTTCCATTGGATGAAAGTCCCTATGAGACATGGTAAACAAGGACACAACATCGAAGCTGACCAGAATATCTGTCGGCTCCAGAGTTGAGTCCCTAATTTTACCAACGAAGTCTATCGAATCTTCGACGTAGAAGAACAGATGCTCGGCCAGGTGGTAGGTCGGTGAGCCTGATACACTGACTATTGGTCTCAGTGGCATGTTGGTTTTGTGTACTCTCGAAAGATCGTAGATCCTAGGTGGAACGGCTTCAGTTCTGAGAATGGTCAGTTTCACATTGATGACGATTTGAAGATTTTATCATCAATTCTCAACCACGATTGTGTTGGGTCCCGTTTGAGTTTGAGGTAGTTTGAAGGATCTAGTAGTTCGTTGTAGTTTTAGAAGTACGGTGGCATTTCTCGCTGGAATAATTGTGATACCCTCATCAGAGTTCAAGCTTTTTGAGCTGCAATCTCGTTTTTTGGGATGTTACATTTTGGAGGTCGTGCCTTGCTTAGAATATTTACTGCCACAATCCCGATTTCCCCTGTTTTCTCATCTGGTTGGCGACAATTTCTTCGTTTGATACTTGGAAGGGCATGATTTGTCTTATAAACTTGGTGCTACACATGCCACATATAAATATTTATATCAAGAATATACAAGCAAGTAGTGACGACAGCGTATTATGTAAATAGTAAGAATAAGAACAGATTGGATAGTGGCAAACTTCAAAAAATACTGTTCTGCAAGATCGAAAGTACATTCAGAAGTTTCTTAATGACTCTCAAGCTTGCTAGGCGTTAGATAATGAACGTTAACAGTCATCCTTCTTATCGAGGTATGCGCCTTCGAGTTCAAAAATAACACTATTTGAATTACTGTCGGAGACAACCGGCATAACTTATTCGCCTGAATGTTCGTAATGCTGAGATAAGAACGTATCAGGTAATTATGAGCGGTTGCAAAATATGCTTCGCCTATTAAGTGGAGTGTGCAATTTATAATAACGGCTTTATCACCCTCACTTTCGATTCTTGTTCTCTTTCCTATCAGTTACTGGATTATGCACTCAGGAAGACAATTTTAATGAAAAAGTTCAAGTGGAGCACGCTGTAATGATGTATGAAGTAAGAGGTGAAATATTGTATCAATAACTGAAGAACTGGTATCCATTTGCATTAGTATGTATTGAAAGAATACAGGGAGAGCACGAAGATGTGAAATCGTTGGATACTCAACATAAACCACAGATAAAGTCCAGAACGTACGGATGTTTTTTATCAATGAATCTATTCAAAATCTGGCTCCTCAGTACATTTGTGATCATGAAATAAGCAACAAACGGCTGCTTTCTTTGTCATGTACTACTACTGTACTCGAAATTTCCAAAAACTCCAGAAGCGTTGCTTGATTTCCAACTTTATACCATCTATTCAAATTTGACTTTTCTCCTGTCACTTCGGCTTTTTTCCAATTTTTGAATTTTTGAAATCTTTCGCTCTAACTGTTCAAACAAAACATGAATCAAATTTCATAATTTTTATGAATAATAGATTATGATGTCATATCTTTTCTAGCAAATATAAACATAGGCCTGTTACTAGATTAGGTTAGGTTCAAAGTGAGTGGGTCTTTTCGACCCTCCACCGCAACCGGTGGTTTATTGTGGCTCACACCTATTCATACTCGACTAAGTAAACCCAGCTTCCTAACAAAGCCGATTAGTTTGTATGGTGAGTGGTCTTACAGGTCAGATGGTAAGACTACGGCTCCGCCGAACTCTAAAAACCTAATTTGGTCCCCAGCGGGGCAGGCACAAAGTATGTGTTGTGCTCTTTCATCATTTTCGAAACAGAGGCGACACACACTATCTTCCGACAGTCCGAGTTTCTGCATATGATGATTCAAATGGCAGTGACCTGTGAGAAAGCCTGTTAGATATCGTAGTTCACCTCTACTGTAGTCCAGCAACTGTTTCGTAGCAAGCTTCGAAGAGTGAATAAACGCCTTAGAATGAGCCCATCCTGGAAGATGCTGCCAGAAGTCCATACATCTTCTTGCCATCCAGGTGTTCAATCTTTATTTGGCAAAGCCTGAAGCGATGCCTATGACAGGTTCTGGTCCGATGAAGATGCCTGCAGCACCCTCTTTTGTAAGGGAGTCAGCAGCCTCATTGCTTTCTAGGCCAGTATGGCCAGGAATCCAAACCAGAGACTATCTATTAAGTCTTCCTATCGAGGAGAGTAGTTTTTGGCAATTTGTTACCAATTTAGACGTTGCTCGGTAGGAGCCAAGAGCTTCCAACGCCGATTGACTGTCCGAGAATATTATCATTGACTTGTGTATGAGAATTCTTTCAATCTCTCCGCACACGATTCAATAGCGTAAATTTCCGCTTGAAATACAGTTGCATTGGTTCCTAGACAGGTTGATATCTCTGTCCTGGGTATGCGACTGAAAACACCTTCACCAGAACCGGAAGGTGTTTCTGATCCATCAGTGAACCAACAACTATCTGCTCTTAATATATACTTCTCCCGCAGAATTCAGTCCTCTCTACTCGGGATTCTTATTACACTTTCACCTGCTTTCAACAGATCTGTATACTGTTTGATATTTTTTTTC